CCTTTTAAAGCAACAAGAACCTGAGATTTGTATTCAGTAACATATATGCAAGAACACTGGTCCTCGAGAGAAATACCAAAAAACACAACAAAATCACGAGGTGTAACAAACTTGCCAGATAAACATATTAAATCAATGAGGGATCTTTCATTCCCAGTCTAAAAATTTTACTGAACACTCTAATAATATTGTGGTCCCAGTACCAACATATTCCCACAGACAAAGCTCCAATGGAGCCAAACACTTCCAAAGCATTTTAATATTCTGCAAAAGTCCTGAACTCAATCTCCGATGCCCAGGTGAGTTCACTACCCAGGAAAAGAATCTTTGAAATACTGACTGGTACATAAAGCAGCTCTACTAGCAACTGTCAAACCCATGTAAAACCAGTCACACCAGTTAGCAGCTGTAGCTCTAATAACCAACATTAAATAAAAGGCAGACACCACTAGTCCACATAATAATAGAAACCAGCTTCTCTATTTGCTGAGAATATTGTTAATACGATTTTGGTAAGCCCCAAGAATGCCTGTGAGTTTCCTTGGGGAATTCTGGTTGAGGAACATCCTTCCAGGCTTCAGCAGGCTATAAGCTGAACAAGACAAGACACGGAGCTTGCCTGGGGATGCCTGCAGATACAGCAGCTGAGTGGACATCCAAATGACTCAGAAACAGCAAACCTGCTGCAAAGAACAAGCAGAAGAAACACACATGCACAAGTAACGTAGCCAAGCCTGGATTTGTTTCGGCAGGGTGTTGGCTAGGTGCAGGCTCAGATTCTGAAGAAGGGAACTGCGTCCTGTTGTCCCTGGGACTGAGCCTTCTTTAAACAAATTGTATGGCATGAAGTAAATATCTGGCTCCTCCTAGCAAAATTACCTCACAAGACCCGAAATGATGATTTTCACTTGGGCCAAAAAGAATATGATCTGTTTATTTATTACTTGTTTACCTTGTTCTGGTAACTAGAAACATTGGGTCAAGATCCCATAGTGCCAGACAGTATTCAAATGCAGAATGCAACTTGCTTTTCTCTGGTGGACTGATTTCCTTTACCCAACTGCACAGCAAATCATAGCTGAGTTACACAATATTCTGCATACAGCCTAGCCAGGGGGCTTTTATTTTTCTCATAAGGAACAAGACAAAACAGTACCATAACATACTTCTTGCTGGATAGGAAAATAACTTTTCAAAGCTACATATTTTGAACATTGATCATTTGCTAAAGACTCGATTTTTTTGTTAAATTAAAAAGTATGAATGGAAACACATTTTTTGTTTGGCTTGGTAAGGATAGGAGTAGTTTAGCATGATAAATGGACCATTGGGTTCTGTGCCTGAATGTGGCACTTCCTACCTCTCCTGTGGCAGTTGTGCAGAGCTCTTTACAAGAACTTTTTACAATAAACTATGCCAAGATGTACTCTGAAAGGGGGGACCTAAAATAACCCCATGTCAAGTAAATTCTATGTCAAAGCACCGCCACTGAATTCCAATGAATGAAACCACCTGAAAATTAGAGGATAGTTTTTAATTTTTATCAGACCACAGTAACTGGCATGATGGTCTTAAAAATAGGGGACAGACCCTTGAGTCTGTAAAACACTGGGAGAAAGGTAGGAGAGGGAAGAAAAGTACAAAAGAGTCAAAGAAATTCAAGACTTAATTTTAAAGCCGTAATAATGAAGAAAACAAGCATGGGATAGCATCACTCAATTATGTGATCTTCTGACATGGTGATGATAATGTCATCACGTTGAGAAAGAAATAAAGAGGGGGTGTGGAAATTTCAAATACTCAATATTTTTATTCCCACATCCAAACCAAAATCCCTACTTCTGTCAAAATCACCAAAATATATAATAATATAAGCAATTAGAAATCAGATATACTTCTTTGTAATCATCAATAAAGCACCTGTGGATTAACTCACCTACTATAAAAAAGAATAGTAAGTGTACAATACCTACAAACTATTTTTCAGTATGGGGTGTAAGAGCCTTAGTTCTGCATATACAGTTGTAGCAGCATTTCTGGATGTTATATATGTACACATGTTGAACATAAAAATCACTCTGCAACATACTGCTTTCAGCTAGAGTCAATTTTTAAGTGCAAAGCCATTTTAAATGGGAAAAAGTATCAAAATGGTTGCAAGTAAATTAAAGTCTTCTCAGATTTTTTTCTGAATAGAGGCAGTGTGAGAGAACAGAACCCAGTCAGCGAGCACTTTGAGCAAGGGCCTATCCTAAGGAACAAAACACAGCACACACTTTACCTTTACTTTCTTTAGAAAACTTAAATATGGCCACTTATTTACATTTCAATATTTATATATATTTAACATTTAAGTCAATTTAAGTCATTTATTTCATTAAGCCCAGGAAAAAAAAATAAAAAGAGAAGCAATTACAACAGAATATGTTTTTAAGGGTGTGGAATCACATTTTATTAACGTTGTGAAATCTAATAAATTCCTTTTGAAGATGTTACATGTCAGCAGTGACAGACTTGTAAAACACCATAAGCATGAGAACTTAAGCATATGTTAGTTTAACAAAATTTGCAAGGTATTTCCATATTGCCTATAATTTTCTGCAGTTATTAACATACTGGCAATTCATTCAGAATAGTCCTTTCAGTTAATAAGGCTAGGTTTTAGCAGCAGCCATGGTTTTCAGGGATTACATCTCTTTGCTTCATAGGTTTCACAGATTTGGCCCAGGAAAACAGTTATAACGTTTTTCTAGTTTTTACTCCAAGCATGTTTCCTCCTTCCCCTACTTCTTTAGGTAGAAGGCAAAACTGGCAGGGAAGGGGACTCATTCCTCTAACAACAGAAAACTCCTAGAAACAATAGAATGATCTACTGGCCATTTCTGAGCACTTGATTCAGACCTATCATAGTATGAAGGGGTTTTTGCTGTGGGGTTGGTTTTTTGTTTGTTTTGTTGTTTTTTGGTGGTTTTTTAAAATGTAATTAAAATTCATTAATCATTAAGTGTCATTTAATCATTAACATTCAATATAATTCATATACTTCAAAAATGTCCCAAGAAAATATTTTCCTTCTGTATAAATAACAAATAAATTTGTTGTCATCCAAATAGTATTACAGCTCTTTTCTGTTTGTGTTTTTTCAGAGCTCCTATTCTCTCACAAGTTTCTATATAGTTGTCTATTTTGTCTTTAGTTTTTTCGAAATTTTAGTGTTTCCCCTGAAGCCAGCCCCAGAGTCCTCTCCACTCACAGAAAGACAAAGTTAGCCCTTTGTTTTCTGACATAAAAAAAAAAAAAAGAATAAATCTTATGCCTTGACTGTTTCTCTTTTCAAAAACCCAACACACAAAATCCTCCAAATCTTGAGTACTACTTTTGCATGGTGTGATATTTTATCCTTTGGTATCAAGCTTTATGTGTTGGCACAAAGAAATCTTGTACCTCCAATCTTGTAACTCAGAGGCAGGGAATGATAATCCATAGGCTTTAAAAAGGTTTGATCATGGTTTGTTGCCATAACTGTGTAGAAGCCACACATCACTGATGTACCTTTGTTCAGTAACTCTTCATATATAATAGCCCTCAAAAATTACAATGCCATGAAAGATGGCAAGATAAAATATTATACATCAGCATAATTAAGGGAGTGAATATGTCCAACAATAATAACTAAATTTTCCTTCTAAGCTAATTAAAAATAAAAATAGAGCCTTAATGTCTCAAATACCACAATTATTTTTGTATACTCCAAGTCAAAGGAAAAGTAAGGTGTGTCTTAGCTGCTAAGCACTGGCAATAGTAACTTGTTCATGGTGGCATTACTTTACTAAAATTTTGTGTTCTTTAATTGGGAAACTGACACTGTAGAAAATTTTAGATATATCTTTCATCCCTTCCCACCATGCAATTTGTTCATTTCCCCAACTATCAGACTATTTTTCCTTCTCTTTACTTCTTGGCCCCACTGCAGAATGCTTTCAGATATATTAAAAACACAGCTGCATAGATTCTAAAGGAGCATCATAACATGCCATTTGTCAGTCTATGTTTAACCAGTGCCCTAGGATTTTGTGGCCTAAATATATAGGAAAATAGTAGTCAGGACAGTAATTTGAAAAGAAATACAAGCACAGCATGCTCCTCATACTGCACACACACTGATGTTTCATCTACTTAACCCACAGGCCATTCTGAAGGTAATAACATGCTACCTCAAGAGGCTAAGGTTTCATTACATTTTTTAAGAACTAACAGGTGCGGCTCTACGGCTTGCCAAAATACTTTGTGATGAACTGCAAAACTAATCTGTAAACTTGCTGCTCACCCCTGGGTCGCACTGCACCTGGCTAGTGAAATGGCAATAGTGGAGTTTATGACTGGTCATCCTTGTTCCACTGCCGCAGACCTCAAAGTACTAAGGCAGGTGGTTAATCTGCACAGCACTAGGGAAAAAGAAATAAAAATTATGATTTTGAGCCTGTATAAATTATTTAAAAGTGCAAAAGTAAGCTCCTGCTCCTTATCCTCTTACACCAGCTCAGTAGAAACTAGCAAGAGCATCAGAACAGTTGTGCTAAGACGTGGATTAGACAAGGTCAGACAACCTTTCAAATGTCTACCGGACTTTTTTCATAGTGGTCCTTGTAAACCCTTTACTTTCTGAAGTGCCTCGAAGGAGACCGCAGAGCCCCGTGCCACCTGCCTCCCCTCCGCTCTCCTGCCAGCCAGGCCTTTGCCCTTGCAGGCGCAACCCTGGTGAGGCTGCAGAACCTACACTCGACACCTCCCCACACGCCTGACAACAGGGAAGGGGCGGCCCCCTCTTTACTGTTGGAGCCCCAGCTTGTCTGCTACGAGGCACTGCTAACTACGCGCTCTGGAGAGATTCGGTGTTTACTATAAATAACGGAGCACGACATTAAAAGTGAAAGCTGTCCTGGTTCGGCGCCAGGAGGGCTAGGAGAGCTTGAGGAGAGGGGCGGAGACAGGGTGGCGGGAGGCCCGGAACTGGCAGGGCCGGCCCGGAGGAGGAGCGGGGAGGAGAGCGCTGGGATGGCGGCGCCCGCAACGCTGCGGAAGAGCGTGGTGTCCCCCGCGGGCAGGCACACCGCCTCCCTCATCTTCCTGCACGGCTCAGGTGGCTGCTTTCCCCCCTTCCCTGCCCGGCGGCTGGGGCAGGGCGCAGGGTGCTGCCCGGCGGGGCGCTCCCGGGAGCGGGGCTGGGGTGCTCCTCCCGGGGCTGTGGGAAGAGGGCGGCGGGACAGGGTGGCCGCCAGGCTCGGGGAAGAGGTCTGAGGTGTCGCTGTCCCTACGGCACTGGCCGGGAAGGAGGAGGCGGCTGTGGGCACAGAGCGGTGTGTCTGTGCCCGGAGGGCTGTGCCGTAGGGACGGCGCCGGCCCACACCGCCCTGGCCTCCTGTGCCGTGAGAACACACGCGTTTTAGAAGATCATATAGTCATAGAATGTGCCGGGTCTGGGGGGGACCTCGTCAGCATCATGGAGTCCAACTCCTGCACAGGACACCCCAAGAATCACACGATGTACTTGAGAGCATTGTCCAAAGGCTTCCTGAACTCAGGCTTGGTGCTGTGCCCACTCCCCTGGGGAGCCTGTTCCAGTGCCCAACCACCCTTTGGGTGAAAAACCTCTTCCTGATATCCGACCTAAACCTATCCCGATTCAGCCCCACGCTGTTTCCTCGAGTCCTGTTGCTCTCTTAATTGCCCCACTCAGAGGGTAGCCACAGGCAAAGGATGATTTTCACAGTTAAAGTGGCTCTTGGTGTTTTTGGATCGGGCTGAGAGTATTGTTGTCACCTGTTAAAAGCCAGTGTTGATAGACTGACTTCTCTTTGTTAGGAGGGTCCTGTCCATGTCCACATTGGCTATGTGGCCATCACTTAGAGAGGGGAGAGTTACCTGCATCAATGACCAGTCTGAGGGCAGGAGGGGATTGTGCATTTTGATTTGTTTTTTTTTTCCTTGAAAGTTATTTCTAACCTGCTAAATAACAACACATGAGTTTTAAAAAAAACCCAAACACAGTAATCATAGATCTTTATTAGATCAAGGCCTTGGGAATCCATTCTGTTGAGCTGCCCATGTGCATATGGCAATGTGTTCAAATCTTTCCGTGTCTTTCTCTTAGTTTTTCTTTTTGCTGATGTTTCTGTTTAGTTTAACAAAGCTGTATGTGCTTATTAAATTAGTTTTGTTTTTATAACCTAGTTTAATTTTGCTTTTTTAAAATTCTGTGAGTAAAAGAGTGAAAGTGAAAGAGTTTATAAGATGTGTTCAGCCCCCTTGTTAACACTAATGCTTTAATGCTTGAGGAAATAATTTTCTCTAATGTTGGAGGAGTAAGGGAAGATTATGGTTAGAGGTTGATTCCACATGTGGTTAAAGTACTCTACAATTTTTCATTTTTTTTATATGATTTTGTTCATCATGTTTGCAAAGGGGAAGTACAAGGGTGCTTTTATTTGGTTTTTAGCAGTTCCGCAGAATAGAATTTAAGACAGAAGTGCTGTTGCTGTGGGCTGGCCTGTAAACCTGAATTGTAAACCTTCTGTACAGCACTTGTGATGGAAAGTGGCAGTCAAGTGGCATGAATCCATTTTGTTCATAATGCTTACTCTAGACAAATTATAATAAGTGCAGAATAATATAGAAAAGTATAAGAAAATTCCTGGTACTGTACATCCAATTTAGGTAGAGGATCCATTTGATAGCTTTGCAGGGAAGGCAAATGGATATAACAAATACGATACAATTTTTTAGGCTTAGGATTGCAAATTTGTGTGTTGTAACAGGCACAAAATCATAGGCTGGGAAAGACCTTTAAGATGATCAATTCCAACCATTGATCAAATGCTGCCAAGTCCACCACTAAACATGTCCTTAATTGCCACATCTACACATCTTTTAAGTACCTTCAGGGATGGTGATTCAATTACTTCCCTGGGCAACCTGTTTCAGTGTTTGAAAGCCCTTTTGGTGATGAAATTTTTCCTAATATCCAGTCTACATGTTACATTTTGTTAAATTTAAACTTTGTGGAGAAAGAAAATTTGGAAGTTCAAGCTATATTTGAAAGGAAAATAATTCATATTTTACTTGAGGAGGGGGAAAAAGATAATACTGTTGCCATCAGTCAAAGCAGAATCATCCATTGTTTGCTTCTTTTTGTAGTGTTCAGAAAAACATATGGCACTAAAATGTAAGAACAGCTTGAAAGACAAACCTTTCAGAAGGTTGTTGGCTTTTGTTTGATGTCACGGTCTTCTGTCTTTCTCCCTCCCCTCCAAATTCTATTCTTAGCAAGTCAAAATGCATTATCTGTGCATGCAAGTTCTCACTGCATTTGGTGAGCATTTGGGCCATGATGACTCCTGACACAGAGAAGGCCGTAGTTAAATTTTCTCTTACTGAACTTTTTGTGGACTTTTAATGGACAAACTAGCTTCCTTAACTGTTTCTGGAGATCTTTGCAAAGTTTAAGAAGTTTGAATATATAGTAAAATACAATATTCTACATCATTAAGGCATTTGTAAATACCTAATGAAGTCCTGATTCTGTAAGCATTCAGATACTTGCTTAGGTTGACTTACCTGAGGGTTGGTCCTGAGGAAGTATTTGCAGAGCCTAGACCTTGGCTTTCTAACTAAAAAAAGAGGGAAGAGAAAAAAAGTTTATTCAAAACATATCCCAAAGATATGTTGCTTGTGAGGTGGCAAGAACCATGAGGAAACCCTCGTACATCAAGAGTGTCTGTGAAGAAACAGAGGTGTGTTTCAACTTAGACCATGCTACTTGCATAAGCAAAGTGCTTGTGGGAGTGTGTTCTGAAGCATGAAGGATGTAACTTTGATTTCACTGTTTGACTTCCCACAGAATAAGTTTTGTAAAGAATTAGCTTTGCAACCCTGTTGCTTATTTGTCACATGGACTGTTTAGGTCAAACAGAGAATAGTTCTAGTTATGCCAGTTGTGCTTGAACAGAAAAAAAAAATGCTGGCTTTGAATCCTTCTTGCCTTCTGTTTTAATTCTGAAGATGCATTAATTGTGTGTGTAAATAAGCATCACTGAATTTTGTTTGAGTGATAAAGAGCAAATTTTCTCCATTGAGGACTTGGTAACATTGTAATAATGAACTGATATGTTTATGCAACATTGTTCAGATGTAAGGTGGCAGTAAACCTGGCTTAGAGGCAGTGATGTTTTTTTCCTCATGGTTTGAGGAAAATAATTTTTTTGAAAAGAATAGGTGAGTTCTCGAGTCAAACCAGGCACCTTGAGTAAAGTAGTAGAGAGTACAGTTAACTCAGATTAGCAGTTTGAGTGGATAATATGTGGGAACCTCAGCTTCAGACAAGACTGAAGGCCTGTGGCATGAGTGGCAGTAGTGAAATTCCAGTTTGCTGAACCCCCACCACATTTTTTAGGTTGAACGTATTGCCTGCTGTAAACTATATTCCTTGACAAACTGGTTTCCTCAAGTTTGATGTATTGTTTAACTCTGGAGACTCGTGTGTGCGTGCTCGTCAGAGGGGTGGCAGTGAAGTTATGGCGGAAGATAACAGCAATGCAAAGACAAGCTTGAGAAACTGTCTGCTCTGTACATGTATACTTGTTGAAAAGGAGCATGTGCTGTCTGCATAAGAGTTCATCCTGCTTATCTGTTCATAGCACTTCAGCCTGCAGAAGCTTTGGCCATAGATTGAGTAGCTAAGATTAGGAAAAAACATGCTGAGAGTCAGTTTTCAAACAGAACCATGGGATTATAGTTTCTTTAAGAGCCTGCTAGATATTTTAACCTGAACTCATCTCTTGAGTGCTTTTACAAAACATGTTTTTCCCTTAAAGTCCATGTGCAATATTAGCGTAATTAAGTGTGGAGATCCTTTTTACTGCTCTTTAGTAGGTTTTAAAGTGGGTTAATATTAAATTCTCTAGTATAAGTAATCTTTTGTAAGGAGAGCAGCAGGTATTTTATTGCACTTTTTAAAAATGTTCATCAAGATTTTTTGTTTATCACTTATCAGCAAACAAGGCAAGTTGATCCCAGGTAGGATCTTGTGTCTACCTGGGAGATACTTAAGCCATAGGATTTAGGGAAGTATTTATTAAACTTATGCTGTAGTACCTCTCAAGTAGTCTGTTTTAGGAAATTTTGAGTCCATTTTCATTGGAAAGGGGACTAAGGTTCTAGAAAGTTCTTTTTTAGCATTTTGGTGTATTGACTTTGTGATTTGAAATTAGATCAATCTGGAATAAATGTATTTGACACTGTATAATTTTCTTGCTAAATGCACAGAATAATTCTTCTTGTCACCTTCTGTGTGATACAGGTGATACTGGCCAAGGAGCAAGAGCATGGATAAAACAAATTTTGAATCAAGACATGGCTTTCCAACATATAAAAGTTATTTACCCAACGGCTCCTGCCAGGTATTGTTTAATGTATTATTACTGTAGGATTAAATTATGCTGTTCCTCTACTGTATAATACGCTTCTGAATATTGGTACAGACTATTGTAACATTTTCCTCTTCTCTCTCGTATGCTTGTTGGCAAAACTGGAGCTCAACAGTGCATTGTTGTCCAGCAACTGCGATTTTAAGTGGTTAAGTCTCTAAATGGGTAAGACTTTACAAAAGTCACAGCCTCTAATTCAAACTCAGGTGTTGTCCTCATAGTATCTTTCCATCTCTTTGATATAAATAGACAATGATGCTCTGGTGTGTGTTGTAGTGCCATTACAGAGCTATGTTTTGAATCCCAGTCCTACCTATATTAACTACCATATATTCTGTTGTTTTTAATGCCAGGTTGACCAGTCTATTTGGTTAGTAAGATTTGACAGATCTTCAGCAGCTGGAGAAAGGACTGGAAATTTAGAAACACACATTGCTTCTCGTTTGAATTCTCATCAAACCGTTTCAAAGAGAATTGAGTTCAATATTTGCTTTAGGCAAGAATCTCGTTGTTAAATGACACTGTGTGTTCGGTGGTAGACTGGAAATACAGATAAAAATTTTGCTTGCAGGAATTTGAAAGTTTATGAGGTCAAACGTAAAGGCTGAATGTTGGGCACCTACCTCCATATTTAGCCATCCAAAGATAATATTAAATATATAATACTTAATTATAATATTATATATGTAACATATATTAAATGTATAATATTAAATTTCAGAGTTGCTTATTTTTTCTTCATATAAATTCATTTTTAAGGTGTCTGTGACTCTAAGTTAGGAAAATGTTTCCTTGAAGGGTAATAGGGCTTGAGTTTCTTTCTGAATTTGTGCATGAATGTGGATGAATGTTGAACGTAAAAGGAAATTGTGACAGTCTACACAGACTTTCGAGGTACGGAGATCTGAAAGTCAGAAAAAAAATTCTTGGAGGGTATGAACAAGTATAATAGCAGATTTTGTCTGGCACTCACTAATATGTGAAAAAAACCCCCTTTCCTTAACCATGTATTTTTTATGGTCTGCTTAGGCAGGAAAAGCAATTGAGAGATTGCGGTGTGAATGTACTCACTGTGTTACAGAAAAATCAAGACCGTGAGTGGAAGTCTTTGAAGCAGTGTGTTTTGGGTTAGTAGGAAGTGAACACGATTTTCTGTAAATAATGTACTCATAACTTCATTGATGGCAGGCTAAACTGATGCCAGAGTTATAAGTGGCACATCACACATGATAATGGGCTCCATAGCTTCCCTATCAACACAGCAGGTACTGGAGAAATGCAGGAGATTTTGCTTTTCTGTCAAATGATTTTTCTTTGCATGTTACATGCAGCCAGAGCACCTCAGATCACATCTGTTAGGCCACTGCTTTGCTTTTCCGTCCCACAGCACTTCTGAGGTCAATCTTTTTCTCATTTTTTCTGGTTTCTTTGGGTAACTATGGATGTAAACTATGTATAAATGATTAACCAGCAAGATCTTCTGACTCAAATAAGGGAATTTGTTTTTATCCGAAGACTTTGGATTTCAGTACTTTGGTAAACAGATGGGAAGAAAGGCACTGTTGTAATTAAAAGATGTGAATAAACAGTTTATTTCACTCTCTTTTTCTTTTTTAAGTTGAGGTTACTCTTATTCCTGTCTACAGCAGATGGAAGTCACGTGTGAGTTGATTCAGAAGTGTCTTTTAGCAAAACTGTAAAAAGTTGTATGTTCAACAAATATAAAACACACTGTTTGTCTGTGACTGGCAATATGAAGTACACTTGTGCACAGCCTTCTGTTGCTGATAGGCAGCATTATCTGACACAGTGAAATAAAGCAGGTGCTCTTAAGTACAGTAGTGTTTGCCACTGTTTGCAGCAATGCTGAAGTGAAGTTAGTGATGATACATGTTACTGTTTGAAAACAGAAATAACAGGAACCTTTACAGACTCACTTCATGTTGCTTTGGTATTCAAGAACAAATCACAGTATGCTTTTTGAAATGGGTTTGTAATAGTTGCTCTCCATTCTCTCAGAGAAAATAAAAGCAAGACCTAAAATATCCAAACTTGAATGTCAGACATTAAAATAATTATATCTGCATTAGGAGCTTGCTGTATGTGGTGATTTTATGTGTGTGTATATATTTATATGTTTTGATAAGAATTCAAAATGTTTCTGCCACCAGTGGGAGAATTCAGAATCCTTCATAATGAGACCTGTAGCCAGATGGTTGTGGGCGTGCAGATATGCTGAGGAAGATTCTGATCCAGGTTCTTTGATCATGTAGAGAAAGAGAGATGTGCTGGCCAAAAGTTAAGCTGATGTGAGAGAGCCTCTGTGGGTCTCTGTAACTTGCCACTGTGCTGTCAGGTTATAGGGGCAGAGTGCAAAACTTGGCTGCAGGGTCTTCAAAGGAAAGCTTGAAGTTTGGCAAGACCGGATTAGGATTGCTTGGTTAATGTGCTCCTCTGGCAAAATCCTGTTAATGTGGATGTACTTCATGCTCTATAAACTCCTGTCTTTCCCAGCATAACTTTGCACATACACATTGAACATTCTCTGTCAGTTTTGCCAGTAAAAGCAGGTTTGATGATATAACCGCAAAGCTTGGGGCTTTGGCGGGATAAACTGCAGGTCAGGAATACCTCTTCACATTTCTGATGGATATTATTCTGCTGCTAGATCTATAGATATGATCTTACACATTCTTCACCTCTATTAAACAGAGTTCTGAAAAGCAGTGGAATTCACATTTTTCAAGAAAACATTGAATTTTTTTTTTCTTTGTGGAGGATTGATGGGGCTTATATTTATGTTTTATTTAGATTTTATCCCCGGCGCTGAAACATGCATATTTTTGATTTGTACAGCATCAGAGATTCAGACATATTTTGATTCAAGACTCAGTATATTTGAAAGTTATTTTGGAAAACCAGTCCAACGTATAATCAAGAAGAATTCTGAAATACATTCTTTGGCTTCACTAGCACTGATGTCGGCAAACACTAAAGAGGATTATAGGTAAAAGCAATAGAACATTACAGGACTACATTTTATAAAACTGTTTTTAACTGTTGTCTATAGATCTTAGTAAAAAGTCACACATTTTTAAAGAAGAGATTTACTTTAATCATTTTTATAATGTGCAGGGTCTGTATAGAGAATGATCACTGAATATGCCCTGGACAGGTAAATTGTTTGCAGCATTTTGTCTCACTCATCCCCCATCAATATTTGTTCGTTTCCTGAGCAAAAATAGAAGAATGTAGATTGTGAATTTTACTATTAAAGAAGAAAGTCCTGCAAAAATACTAAGTAAAATGCATATGGTAAAAAGCATGCTTAGATAAAAATGGGAAAAAATATATGGATTTGAAGCCTCAGTGTGATGTAATGAGAGTAATGACACCTAAATTTTGAATATGTTTGTAAATTAAATGCATGTACCTGGGGCATGCAAATTTTGCTTTACAAATTAAAAGTTTTATGCATTGCTTTGAGGGTTTGGGTTTTTTTCTCTGTAATGTAGTCTACTGGGATACTTAAAAATTAGTAGAGAACTTGTTTTAGCTGTTTGATTTAGCTTTCTTTCAAGATCAGGGCTTCTGTACATACATTAAACTTGTTAAACACAATTCTATTTTTTCTCCATTGTAATGCTAATATACATCTTTAAAAAAACCAAACTCCAGTTGTAGCCCTAGCAGCTGATGCAATCCCTAAAGCCACGTCTACACTAATAGTTTTAAAGGAAAGGGTTTCCTTTTTCCTTTTTTATTTGGGTCAGGATGGCTACAACTTAAATACTGTTTCAGCTGCTACAACTGTGACTTAAACATTAGGTTTCTATTGAGTTTCTAAATCAGAACTGAATACCACCCAATTTAACCTTTTCTTTTTTTTTAATAGAAAGTGATAGTTTAAATTGGCATTGCAGGAGCTAACGTGGTAAATTTAAAACCATTTAGGCTCCACTTGTTTTAATACATATACCTTTCCTTCTTTAATTCCCTGAAAAAATCTAGGCCAAAGATTCTTTGTGTTGTCTTGCATTCCGTTCTGACAGTCTTTCTCTTTTGCAAGTCAGAAAATAAACTATAAATACTACTTTGCCTATTTTATGGATGTTTTTGACATTCACTCAACAAAGCTTTCTGTGGCACATAATTCTCTGTGCAGAGCTTGTTGTCTGGTTGGGTTTTTTCCCCCCAATTTGTTCTAACTTCCCGTATCTTTATGTGGCTGATAAGGACTACTCAGCATTATATGGCATAGTACTCCATCCTTTCACCTAAGTTCACATCTTTGCTCAGCTCATGGTGGAAATGAGTTTCATCTCATCACAGTCCCCATTTGGCTGTATCACAAAACCACCAGACAGTTTGGCACCATTCAGCTCCATTGGCAGTCTCTGCCTGTGAGAGGCCTAGGACTGGAAAAGCAGCAGGGATGTACTGCAGGTCGGACTTGAGATGGATTGGCGGAGCTGTGGAGGGGAGTGTGCACAGTGCCTATCATACTGTTTTTGGCTCAAGCAAATGTTATTAATCCTTGACTTTTGTAAGCCCTAACCTCATTCATAAATTTAACACAAAGAAGTCTTTTTAAAGGTGGAAACCTAAGGGAGAAATGGAAAAGGTTTCGGTTGGTGTCATGGGGTGGTTCTTTCATCTCCTTTAAGTAGAAATTTAACATGTTCTGCATAATAATGCTGGAAGCATGCTTGGATAAACTTTGTATTTTCCTTTTTATTTCTACTCTTGAATTAGGTGAGGAAAACTTAAATATGCATACATCTAATGCTTACATCAGATGCTAAATACCATGTGGAATGCAGATACTGTAATCATGCTTGGGGAAAACAAATTAGAACATGATGGAAATAATCTTGGATTTCTAATCCCTTTAACTGCATTGTGCTCTTAGGCATTCTTCCTCTTGTTTTGATTCTCTCAATGCTTTTCCTATACAGAAGAATTGGAGACAG